TATTTAGGATAGCCTTCAAGTATTTCGTCAGGATGATCAGTGAAAAGAAGGTCTCCTTGTGAGCAGATCTCCAGGCCCAGATGTCGTTCAAAGGCTGTCTGTTCCCACAAGAGGCTCTCCACCTTTCCATGGATTCTTTATGCACCTACAATCATGTTTACATAGTTCCTATAAAACTGTTCTCAAACAGTAGCATGCTTCACATGCTTTCTGTACTCTGCTTTTCTCACTTGATGTGGTGCCTTGGAACACACCCCACATCTCCACGTGTCAATCTCTCCTGCATCGAATTTCCTCATAGGGCTAGACCATATGACCCGCCCAATGATCATGAACACCAGACAGACACCCATGCTTTTCCCAAGTCTGTTTCTTCTCTGTTCTGCCATCTGTGCTGTTTACATGCTACAAATTTACAGCTACAAATTAAATGTTTAATTGTGTGTTGTTCCTTATCTCACCTTTCTGGTTCACCCATGGAGTAGATCCGTCTTCCTCTTCCTTCATCAACTGTGTATTGGTTCCCCATGAGCCCGAAATCCTACCAGGCTCTGGGAGTTCTGTTCTTCTGTTGCTGGGATCCAGAGACACCCTCCTCCTTTTTTCATGGCCCAGTTACTGCTAAAAGAAATCTGTGATGTTTATAATCTAGTCATTTTCCCCTAAACTACTTAAACACAACTGACGAGTCAAAACTTAAAACCTTATAAATCAAATTTTCTTAAAACATTTACAAATTGTCCTGTTTTGATACAGCTGAGTCTGATGTAACTTCTAAATTCTTTTAAATGCTTCAAGTACCTTAAAAATAGTTTTTTTACTGCATGATACCCAAGCCTATCTGTATGAAGCATCACTACTGATAATTTTTTATCTCTGTAAAACATTTTTGTATTTTCCCAGGATTACATTTATCAGACTCTGAAGAGAAAAATTATCTCCTTCCCAAGTGCATTAAATTCATAGTCTCTGGGCTCCTGACTGACAGATTCGCAGATGGAATGTAGAATCCTTCAAGGTGAATGAAATGGCAGCAGGTACTTCCTACTTGGGTCTCCCTCAGACCAGGTTCCACTGCTATGTCAACAGGACTTGTAAGTAAATTCTTGCAATCTTCACACCCATGTACATTAAATTTGGGGTATGTATGTTCTGCCTCAATTTATAACAACAAACTTCATTAGGTGGCATTAGCATTTAAGTATAATTTGCAGGGTCATGTAGTTTAATTTAACAGCTATTTTCTTAATCTATTAACTTGCAGTACAAATTATGGGACTTTTCCTCCCTGGTTATTTATGAGACTACTGGTCTTGGCTTGCCTTCCTAGCTTTGGCATGGTTCCTACTGTTTTTGGAAATCTTTGACTACTATGGCAAACTTATCTACTCAACTACTGTAGATTTACCATTTTGTAGACAGACACACTGAACTTCAAGAAATAAATCCATATATATCAAACTTATGTATTTACCAAACTATCCACTTTCTATACTAGTTTTGTAATTACAGTTCTATGCACAGTTTTGAATACATAACTTTTTTTTCCTTCGGTGCTGGGGTTTGAACCCAGGGCCTCGTGCATGTTGAGCATTAGGGTGGGGAGTGGGGGCAGCTCAGTGCTGGAGCTATGTCCTCCAACACTAATACTAAACTTTTTTTAATCATTAAGGATTCAGGACTTTTCAGAGTCTACTTGTACTTGTAGACCAACAACTATAGCTCAGCAGCTGCTTTTTGGGATATGCATAGTCACAATCTGGCCTGTCACAACCCCCTTCTACTTTAGCTGTCTCCTCTATTTTTCAGCAATAGGCTGGCATGTTTTGGAGCATCTGTTTTCTAGCAATATTAAGATATTTCAGGCCACTCTAAATTGTCCCATATTGCCAACAATGAAACCAGTTTCTTTGAAAAGGCCAGGCTACTGCTAATGACAAATACTACTGATATCATTATCTGGGTGCTAGTGTACATCTGGGTGGGTGCCACAAGGAGACTGGTGATGAGACAGCATTTGACGATTCCTTGAAAAGATAGAGTCAATCTTAGTTATCATCTCCTTTAGGACCATAATTATACTGACAGTGATTGTTCGTATAGCTCTAATAGTACCATACCCTTTTATACAATTACATTTTTTTCTTTTGTGTTGCTAGGCATTTATCATAGAGCCTTGTGCATGCTAGGCAAGTGCTGTCACTAAGCTAAACCCTCAGTCACTTCTATACAAATTTTACATGAGTTGTCTACAACATTTAGATTTTTGACACTTAAAACTGTTTACTCCCACCTCTGCTTTTAACAATGCTGGGTGCCCAAGACCCTGTTTTCATGTGATCTATGAGTATTCTTATCAAAATCTGCTTTCTATAACCTATGAAATCGTATACATAAATTTTATTATATTTTCATGTAAGGGCATCTGTCACATAGCTATTATTATAACTGTGAAATTACTGATACAAATATATTTAATTATGCAAATTGCATTTCTTACATAATTGCTATGTTATGTCCATAAGTTCATTGGTGTGAATTCACTCCTAAGCTAGCCTTCTGAGCCTGGCTGCTTCTAGCAGGCTTGCTGGGAAGCTCATCTCCTTTAGGACCCATTGTTGCAGCAGGAGGCCATTAATTACATAATTTCAAGTGATTTACACTTAATTCCACTAATGCTTTTTCATTAATTGAAAGCATTTTGAAATACTACTGGCAAATGCAAAGAATAAAGATGTTTGCTGATTGAAAATGTGCAGGTCACACAGGCAATGGAAGAGCCAGCTGTGGGCTCACCTTTCCACTTAACAGGTCTGAGTTTCCCAAAGAAGGGGGTCTTCCCTTAGCCCCTTCCATATGCCCACCTCCAACAGTTTCCCACAACAGATGCTCAGTAACTTTTCTGTGGAAGGTGAATGGAGAGCAGGAAGGAGAGGCCACAGGAATAATGAAGAAAAATCAAAGCTATCCAAATAATTAACCTAGGACCATCACCCACAGTTGACAATTTCATCTTTTGACTTTAATATTCTGAAATAATTGGGTTCTGAGGTAACTCTTAAATTGCTTCATTTCCAAAATTCATTTTGGTCACAACATCCAGGAGCAACAATCCATCTGCTAATCAATAAATAACATTTAGATATTGCTGTAAGAAAGGCAACCCAGCACAAAACCAATATTGTCAGCAACCCAGAACAACTCTAATTTCCTGACAGAAATCAATTCCCCGCCAAAGTGATTATTGTAAATATTTATAGTTCTAAAAGAAAAACTCATCACTGTAGGTTTTTGAGCAGTTCATTTCCAAATAAGTTTCTGGTGGGCCCCACCTAACCATCCATCTTGCATCCACGAAGGGGGGTGTGTGGGGGTGGCAGTAGCTTTGTGGAACACCTCTTTTGAGGTCCTTCGGTAGTTGGTGCTCCTGGGAGGTGATATTGCCAAGTGGAAAAACACTGGGCATGGAGAGGCAAGTCCACGTACTCTAATTGGCTTGCTGGCCTTAGAAAGCCACGTGAACTCTCTGAACATGGCTTTCCTCCTGTTTAACTTAACCTCCTGGGTGGTGAGGATGAAATGAAGGGGGCTGGAGAGGAGATATCTCTGAACGCATACTTAATAATCTGGCAAGTTTGAGGTCTTGGAGCGACTCAGTATCTCCTAAGAACAGGATTAAGGAACAAGCAAGAAAGGATTCTTGAGAAATCCAAAGAGCCATGCTAAAGCTCATAGCCCAAGGGCATTTTATCACTAAAACCCAAGTGTGTTCTGAATGTGTGTTCTTTCGGTAATGTTAGGATGCAATAGGTGCCAGTAAACAAAGATGAAAAAGACTTGTAAGGATTGTGCTTGGGAAGCTCATGGTCTAGTGGAAAGCGACTGTGCACACAGCTAAATGCCCTTGGACTTGGGGGACTCAGCAATTCAAGTATGACCCTGAGATGTGGAAACAGAGGCATGAGCACTGGGGCTGTTAGAGAATTTCATTACATGGAGGAGCAACAATAGGGGGTCATTCCAAGAAAAGAGTGAGCAAAGACTAACATAAACACACGTTTCCCAAGCTTCAGCCAGTTGAATTCTGCTTTTCCATTTATGATTTTCACCACTTCTCTGCGTTATGTATACCATTTTAAGTTGAATACTTAAAAAAAGAAGTAACCTAAGTTATATTTACAGCAATAACTGCCATCAACAAAAAGTCAGTTGTTATGTACGGAAATGCATTCAATAATCGTCTAGCTCTGTTATCTGTAGGAATAGTTACTACATGGGAACTACAAAGTGACTTGGGAAGCTTAAGAGGGCCACCGGAGAAGTTAGCTGAGAACTAAAGGGAGCCTTAGAGCTAACCACCTGAACATCAAAAACAAAAACAAGGTCATCAGATTTCAAACAGATAGGGGAGCCCAGCAAGGTGAGAGGGGAGGTCACACCCAGGCGAGGGCTGCGAGACGGATCCGGCCGGAGGGGTCGCTCCTGCACGTGGAGCGCAGGCTGTCCACCCTACCTACCGACCAAACCAAGCTGGGCACCCCGAGCGGCCGGCGTTTCGCTCTCGGGGAAACATTGCAACCCGAGGGTGGTGCAGGCTGTATCCACCCGAGTGCAAAAATCAGTAACTGAGACCAAGAAAAGTTCTTGCTAAAGCAGCAGTAGTACAGGTGGTAGGAGCTGGTAAAACGGCGCCGGCAGACCAAGTCCGAACTCCGCCTCCGGGTCCAACCCCGCAGCCCACGTGCCGGTGGGAGGTGGGCCGGCAGGTGCAGGGCAGGACCGGGAACCCTCCGGATCCGAGATCCGTACTCCGGGCACCCGCAGAACCGCTTCCTGGGCGTGGCTTAAAACGCGGAGTGGCGGACCCTCTGGAGTGGAGGCAGAGCGCGTCCACTGGGCGCGAGCATGCGCACTGGCCCGGCAGCGCCGCTGGGGGAGGGCCCCCGTGGAGGACGTCGTTACGCAGGCGTCCGAGCCCCGTGGGGAGGAGGGCGAAGACTCCATCCGCCATGTTGGATGCCGCAGATTCGCCATAACCTCGCCTGCTCTTTTCTTAAAAAAATAAAAATAAAAAGCGAAGCGCCAGCGGGGCGCCCCGCCTTCTCGGTCGTTACAGGAGGGGTCCTGGAAGAGCCGAGGCTTTTTTTTCCTCCGCGGTGGGGGCGTTGCCATGGAGACGCAGGCGGCAGGTGAGCCGAGCTGGGGGTTGGGGTGAGGACGGGGTGGGGGTGGGGCGCGGCGCGGCGCGCGGGAAGCCGTTCGGAGTCGGGTGCCGCGCGCAGGCCTCGGGGCGGCGGAGGGATCCGCGGCAGGAGCCGGAGAGCGGACGTAGCGACGTCCTGCGGCCACACGTTCAGTCGTTGGCAGTGTTCCGCCGCCGAAAAAAAAAAGTTAAAAAATAAAGCTGGAGCCAAGGAGGGGAGCGCAGTGCGCGCGCGCGCACGGGCGCCGTTTCCAGGACAACGGGAGGCGTGGGGGTGCGCTCCCGCGACGGAGCGCGGGCGTCCCCGCGGGCGGGAGGTTCGAATCCCGGTGCCGCCAGCTCTTTGGCGGGTGGGCTTTGGCTAAGCCCGCCTCCTGTCTGGCCCCGGGTTCCTGCTGTGTGACATAGTTTCCCTGATTATCACATCCAGGCGCTTGGCCGGAATTTTTGAAGGGTCAGGGCTTCGAAGGAAAGTTTCCTTGTGTCCCGTAGAGAGAGCCACAGCGCCAGGGGGTAGCGTTGCCACGGGTCGCCCCGCCACACGCTTCGCAAAGTTGTCCTTTACCCCGGCCCGCTGCCCAGCCATGTCACCTCCTCCAGGCAGCCTCCCCCGGCTTCCTCCCCCCCCCCCCCCCCCCCCCCCGCCCGCGCGGGCCGGGTCGGCCCTCTCGACGCTGGCGCCGTCCCTTTCCCTGCGGCTGGCGCCCTCGCCTCCGGCTTCGTGCGTTTGGCTGCGCAGCCCTGCCGGCCGCCCCTAACTGGAGGTCCTTCACTGCGGGGGGAAGTTCCGAGGGGTCAGAATCCTAAGGTTAACCGTGGCAGAGGTGAGGTGTAAGGGTGAAGCCCAGACTCCTGCCTGGCTTGTACCTCCCACCCCAGAATAGTGCGCCCCCACGGTAGGTGTCCAGTGTGGGCCCGGTCAGGTTTCCTTGCTGGAGCCCAGGTGACCTTTGAAATGCAAATGTCATGTCATAGGCCCACTCTCCACCACCACCCTCTGCAGCTTGCTCCCTAGAGCGCTCAAGTTCATCTGTGGAAGCCTGTGGAGTGAGGGTCCCCGTGCCCCCGGTGGAGATGGGCACGCCTTTGGGTTGCTTTAGGTCCAACTGGCAGCTTGGCAGGCAGGTGAGGAGCGGTGGGGACCTTTGTCCTGCCCCATCCTCTGTGGCCCCAGCTGAACCAGGTAGTGGAGTGAGGAAGGGGCCCAGAGCCAGAGTGGCGGGACTTCACCTAGTGACTTCTCAGTTCACTGCCTTCCCTCTCCCTGTCAGTCCCTGCTGCTTGGACCCAGAATGACCTGCTCACCTGGCTTCTGGGGGAATTCACCCAGCAGCCCTTAGAAAGAACCCTGGACTTAGGTTGTTTCCTTCCATTTCTGGCTGAAATGAATGAGAAAAGAGCAAGTTTTGAAAAAGTATTACAGTTAACTCAGGACAGCTTATCTCTAGAAACTAAAGTTTCCTGTTTTGGTGGTTAGGTTAATTTTAAAGCAGCAGTACAATAGATGGCACGGAGATGGAGTGGCACATGCCTGAAAGGTGCAACTTGGCTGGTAAATGAGCTGCCACTGCCCTGCTCCCTTGTCAGTGGCTTCTGATTCTTCTGGAGGAAAGGTTCCTGCTCCTTCCTTCCCAAACCTTATAATTTACATAACGACTTTTCAAAGATGGTTATCCTTAAGTAGAATTAAGCAGCTGCCTAGGGCAAGGGCAGTCAGAATTAGATGTATTAGAAAGACTCTCTTTAATTGCATTTCCTTTTATAGATAGTTTCATGCTTGTTGCCTCTGAAGACCTCTGCACCAAGCTGGGCAGATTTAATTATGTAGAAGTGTTGAGCTGGAGTTCAGTTTCCCTCTTCTCAGTGGTTTACCTTGCGAAGCTTTCCTTGTCTGAAATTTCCCAGGGTCAGGTCTCAACTCTAAGGGCTGGAATGGGGCAGAAGGTAGGAAGAACAACGCCCCTGGGCTGCACCCAGCCCTGAGGACCCCAGCGTCTAGTCTGCAGTAGGAGACCTGTTCCTACTCCTGCACTGTGGATGCTGTTGGCACTTGAGATGCCAGCTGTCCCCTCTGACCCAGACCCACTCTCTCTATTGTGCAGCTCAGCACTTTGTCATGCCCTGACTTTTAGAAGCATTTGTGACTGGGACTTTTGGATAGAGTTTGATCATGATACATTTCTTCGGAAAGAGAAAAAATAATTTGAGAGCAAAGCAAATCAACTATTTTAAACACCTGTTACAGATCTGAAGTTGCTTTGTTTTTTTTTGAACATAAAATGTGTAGATAAAGTCACGTTTGCTTATAAGAAGATAATGCTTGACATTAATACAAAAATGGGCATAAATTTGGGTAACAAAATTTTCTTTGTTCCTTTTTTTTTTTAAAGAGAGAGAGGGAGGGAGGGGGAGGGAGGGAATTTTAATATTTATTTTTTAGTTTTCAGCGGACACAACATCTTTGTTTGTATGTGGTGCTGAGGATCGAACCAGGGCCGCACGCATGCCAGGCAAGCGCGCTACCGCTTGAGCCATATCCCCAGCCCCATTCTTTGTTCCTTTTTAAAAGTTTTAAAGATTATAAATTGAAAAATCATAGTTATCTATAGTTATGGTGCACAAAGTAGTATTATGATTTATGAATATGATATGGAATAATTAAACCAAGGTAATTAACATACCCATTACCCCCAAACATTTGGTGAGAGCCCTGGAGACTTGCTCTCATGCTTTGGAAATGTGCAGTGCATTGTTACCTGCTGTGTTCACCCTGCTGTGCAGTCCACCCTGGTCTCACTGAGGCTCTGGTAGAACCAGTGTTCTATTCTGGGCCTGAGTGCACTGTTCCAGATCCCCTGTGTGAGCCCCGTGTGTGTGCTGTTGTGTGCTTGGCTTATTTCACCTGTCAGGATGTTCTCCAGCTCCGCACATTTCCACAAGAGGCAAACTGTCATTTGTAAGGCTCAGTTATACTCCAGGGTACTTGTGTGCCCCATTTTCTTGACCCTCACATATCAGTGAACACTTAGTTGTCTGCATCGTGTCTGTTGTGGCAGCCTGCAGTGAACACAGGAGTGCAGATGTCCCTGGCACACACAGATTTGGAATCTGGATTCTTTCAAATCATGGGCAGGTGACATCGAAAAGCATGGAACTCTGGAATCTGGCGCCTTTGATCCCAGCAGTCTGGGCTGAGGCAGGTGGGCAGGGTAGGGACCTGGTGTGCGGCCCAGCTGCAGGCTGTGGATGAGATGGTGGCAGGAAAGTGGACAGGAAGGAGGCGAGGGGACCCTGAGCCATGGAGCACGGGAGACAGTGCAGCCTGGCATCTCTGAAAGGCGTTGTGCCTGCTCTTCCCAGGGCTCCTTGGGCCCTGCCAGCTCCCCTAGTGTCAGAGGTTCTGCTGTGCTGCTATAGGTGGTGCTGCCACAGGGCTTCAGAGGCCACCTCATTCCTCCTCCCTGCAGGGCTGTGGCTTCCCACCACCAGACTGGTTCCAGCTTCCCTCAGATGTTTGCTACCCAGTGCTGGGGTGGCTCGTCCTCGCTCTTTCCCCTGGGGACTTCACCCAGTCATTCCAGTGGGAAGCCAGCTCCTTTGGGAGAGCGTGCCAGAGCCACTCAGTCTCCCCGTTTCCTACTTTAAGGTCATAAAGATACACTTCTGGGTTTGTTTGTTTCTCTACTTTAAAGCTTTATGCTTCTTGCCCTTAGGTCTAGCTCTGTCATCCATCTCAAATTAGTTTGTGGATGGTGTGAAGCAGGGCTCTGGTTCTGGTGTCCAGGTGGATCTCTGTTTGCTGGAGCGGCAAATGTATTGAATTACTTTGGCTCTTCTGTTGACAGTCATGTGGGTCCATTTCTGAGCTTTCTGGTCTCATCTGTTTATCCTTTATCAGTGCCACACCATTTTGATTACTATAGCTTTAAAGTAATTTTTGGAGTTATAAACGATAGGGGCATTTAGAATATTTTTTGGAAGGACAAAAATCTAGGCAGGAGTCTTTCATTAGGTTGTGTCATGGCACAGCCCAGGTGTTGAAGCTCACCCCAAGATGTTCACAACAAGGTGGTGGCTGGGAGGCACATTGGGAAGACAGATTTGCAGATATAATTCAGAGAAAAAAAAGCCCATGGAAGTTTTGACCAATTGGATTTTACCGTAGGGTCCAGCAAGCCGCCTGTCTGTGTTTTTGGGGAAGGAGGGATGAGGGACACAGCAGGCCAGGGATGGGGAAGTCTTTGCAGACTTTGCACCTGCTGCCCTGGTCCATGATTTTAGTTCCCTTCTGTGATGTGGGGAGGGGGCCTTTGTACTCTACTTCCCATTTTACTTTGGAGTTGGGCCAGAGCACTAGTGTAGGGCTTGCCAGGTCCTAGGGGAGCCCTTTCTTGGGGACGGAGGGCTCTCTCCCCTTATGAAGCTCATGGGGTGGATGTTTTGTGCAGTCTCGAGGGTTCCTTGGGTGGAAGCATTCAGTTCCTTACAGTGAGCCCTGTAAGGAACCAGGTAATGCAGGGAGCAAGAGAAGAACCGGGAGGTAGTCCTGGGACCTTGCCCAGTCTCTGGAGCCACCATGGCCTCTTGTAAAAAGGGTCACTTCAGGCCACTGGGCAGTATGTCTCTAAAGGTCCCATAGTGAAGCACTGGGCACACATCTGGCCTCTGTCTGATTTTTCTCTTTTTCATCATCCATCTGTTCCTTCCTTTCTCCCTCAGCCTTTATCAAGCCTCACCTTCTTCCCCTGAACATCTTGTAGTTTTCAATATTATCTTTAAAACTTGAAGCATGCTGAGAGTGGTCTGACGTGTGGTGCAGTGGCCGGCCTTGTGCAGCCCTGCTGTTGTAGGGTGAGAGGGGCTCTGGAAGCACCCTATCTGTAGAAGTTTATTATCTTTTTTTTTTTTTTTTTAGTGAAGGAAGCAGAAGCTTGCACTGGGCCAGCTGTAGAAACACTGAACTGCTCTGGGCGGGGGGACTCAGTC